TTTGGCTTCTCTTCTCTTGGCAATTTCCAGTTTGTTCTGACATCCACTTTGCAATGTCTTTTCACACTCATCCTTAACAAATTCTTTAAGTTTATACCACAGTTCTTCTGGTTCTCTATCAATGAGGTTCAGGACTTCAAAGCGATTCCTGATGTTCTCCTTGAAAATGGTGAGTATATGTTCAAGATCATATTGTGGAAGCTGGTTGCCTTTCTTCTTCTTCAGCTTAGCTTGGAACTTGCACATGAGCAGTTTGTAATCTGTTCCACAGTCAGCTTCTGGCCATATCTTTGATGCTGTAACTGGGCTTCTCCCCCTCTTAGCATATAGTCTATTTGATTTCTGTGTACTCCATCAGTGATGTCCATGTGTACATTGGTTGTTTTGGTTGTTTGAAGACCGTGTCAGCTCTGAAGAGATCATTGGAGTGGAATAAACTGATAAATCATTCTCCTACTTCATTTTACTTTCCAATCCATACCATCTAACTACACTTTCCTCCTTAGGTTTTGCAGCTCTGGCATTCCAGTCTTCAATCACAAGCCACACACTTGCTTGAACTCTGTCTTTTCTCTGATATAATCGTAAGCTAAAAGGCTTCCTTAACCTGAGCTGAAGTATTTCATCACTTCTGATTACAAAACTCAACAGTGAAAATGGCATATTAAGGCTGTTTAAGAGAAAGACGGATTAAAAAAAAAGATTGGCTCTACCTCAGCAGTCACTTTAACAGCCATACATTCTTTGTAGGAATTTATAACCAAAAAAATTGTTCCTATTCAATCTAATTTTTATTCTTCAGACTTTAGCCATGAGACACTTTGATGGCTGTAAAAATATACCTATATTTACCAGCAAGTATTAAGTTCAGAAACTGGGGAAAAAAGACAAATATCTATATTAAAATCTGTATTTCCTTTGGAAGATAATCCATACTGACTGAAGGAATCATCTAGTTACTAAACAGAAATATAGAAGCAGGAACTATTTCCAAGTACTATCTACTACTTCTGTCCTGAATGATCACTCAGCAAAAATCAACGTTGTTCATGTTTTTCCTATGCTTTTCATTGTTTTATAGCCAAATATTTTGTTTTGACAGAAATTTGATCCTAAGCCAAAACATTTCAGTGCGGAACCATGTTTTCTTCAAGAGAATGTTTTAAGGCAGATTTCCCAGAACACTTGGGACTTCAGTTCCCAGAACTATCACCCTACATCAATCGGAACTTCACATATGTCAATTATTTAAAACCAGCCTCTTTTTTATTGAATTCATTCACTGACTGAAATCAGTGCACCTTGCAGTGAAACTGGTTAGATGACTTTGAACAAGCAGCTTACTCTTGCCTTAACCTCCACACCGTTGTTATATATAAGTAAAACTATAAGAAAAACACAACGGTCCATTTATAGCACTTTGAGTTTCTTGGAAAGAGGTCAGACATCTACTTAGCTTGAAAAAAGAAAAAAGAAAAATCCTGAAGTTAGCTCCATAATATTTTTGAAATACATTACATCAATCACAAAGCATGTTGTTACTTTAATGTTTAATAAATATTGTATTTTGTAAACACAGCTTATAGCCTAACATGTGCAAATGCAATTATAATTTAGCCCCAGAGCATGATTTCATGCAATGTGTAAGTCAGTAATCGTATGACACTAACAGGAAGTCTGGATTTTCCCCTTGATTCTATTTTTCAACATATTTATGTAACTCTCTTCAGCTAAACAACTCTCTAATAATATTCCTAAATCACAGAAGTAGAGTATTTTGTCAAAAAACACAGAGAAGACACTGCTAGGTACAAAAATGCCAACAGATAGAGTAACTCATGCCATAAATGGATACATAAACAGAAAGCAATTATTTATTTTAGTACACACAAATTTTGCAGCATTTATCATATAACAAACTCTATCACTGCCTGGTCTGATTCTGGGATGTGTTGGTGTACAACGTCCACTGGCCACAGAGCTTGGCAAGGATGACACTGTAGCTCAACAGATCTGGAGATCACCAGGCTGGGGGAAGTTATGCACCAAGTCCCTGCAATGCCCACAGAATTTACAACAGAAGTACTTCTACCATTTTTGTAGAGAAGCAAGTGGGCAGCTATTGATTGGCATTCAGTTGCCAACTGGCCCCTTTCTTAAACTTCAGGAACTAATCAACTCTCCCTTATGTATCTCTAGGGAGGCAACTGCTTGGCAAAATATCATGCTAAACTGGGATTTGCTTAATCATGGTTTCTGGAATACAGCTGGCTGAGTTCACCCCACAAGCTAAGTCGTAGCTCTTGATGTACAAACCACACTGACTGGGTTTATACCACCATATTCAGACAACCCCCATCATGGATTGATCAGAGAGGATTTGAGAGCCAAGGGGTCATTTGGGTGAAGAGCTAGATTGAATAGGATAGGGGCTGTGGCTCATTCGATATACCCACAGATCTTCTCGCCCTGGAAGGAGAACTTTGCAAAACCTAATGACAGCTCTACTTAAGTGAGAAGTAGGGAGAGGAAATTACATTTTGGAAAAGAAAATTATTGGGAAAGACAAGAGAAAAACGGGTACTCCTGAATGGATTACTGCAATGCAATCTACATGGGGCTGCCCTTGAAGACTATCTGGAAGCTGCAGCTGGCCCAAAATGCAGCAGCGTGGACACTTATGGGTGCCCCTTTATCCATCCACGTTACACCTCTGCTCTGCAAGCTGCGCTGGCCCTCAGTGTGCTTTCTATGTTATCCATCCCCATGATCTATCATTCAAAGTTTCAGCCCCTTTGAACACAGGGATTTCATTGAAGTATCCAAAGCCACACCAGGATAAACCAGAACTGGAAAGCAAGTGCACACCATCGCTCATCCTCCTATCAAAGTAGCTAAGTAAACTAGTTTGGATCCCTGTGGTGTGTTAGCATTAGGCAGGATGAGGCTGGGCCTTGGCTATGTTATTGCTGAAAACACACAGCCTTCAGTTGTCGCTCTTTTAATATAAATGTAACATGACTGCTTGCATTCTCCTAACTATGCTCCATAGGACAACTGGTTCTTTTTCATCTGATAAAGATAGGACGTAAGTAATCAGAAAGCATATAGCAAAGATGTAAAAAATCTTAGAAGGTGTATATTCATTTTAGGCAGCAAACCTTTCATATTTAGGACTCAACTTCAATCAATATTCATAAAATCTAGGATTTGTTTTTTTCCCCAGAACACACCATACCACAACTCCACTCCAACCATATTCCATCTCCTTCTTTAAAAGAGCATGATCTCTGCCTTAGAAAAGATGGTGCTGTTGTAATGAAGGGGGGTAACTAATTTTAGTGTCTCAACCTGCCAAAGTGAACTGTTTTGAGAGGCAAACCAGTTCTTATCTTAAGAAAAAGGAAGGGGAAAAAAATGATTTAAGCCATGCTGAAGTCAGTTGCTAGCTCATTGTTTATATCCCCTTTATGACAGCCAAGGGTGGTACTGTGTTTAGTTTTTAGTGCATTATATAAACTGTAGTTCTACATTCATTTTCACAGAAATGTTGTAAATAAGAAACTGGAAACAACTTGAGCATCCTTTTCTGGGCCTGGCTTAACAATTTTTTTTTGCCGGTCGTAAAAAAAATGGTTCTGTTAACAATAACAAACAGCGCTTCCAGACAAACAAGTTAACACCAGACTGTTTTTTTTTTTTTAATCCAGTCATACAAAAGGAACTGCTAGAGGGTAAGAAAGTATTTGCTTTTTAAGGAAGTGTTTGCTTTTTAAGTAACAGGAACAGAGCTGCTCTGATTACACACCCTCGCCATCCATCAATCAATATTACTTTTCTCAATGGACCCGAATTACAAGAATTCTCACATTCCTCTTGATTTAAAAGAAAAAGAAAGGCCAAGAAAGGGTTCAGAGACCACAAGAGCAAAATCTGAAAATTAGGTTCCATAATGATCATAGGAAAGCTTTAAAGAAACAGGCCCTGCGAAGCTCAAAGGTTCTAATGCTGAATGCCCTGAGAATGGGTTGTGAAATTACACACACCTTTCTCCCCCCCACACACTAAACACACTCCCCACCTGATCCAAAGTCATGTGCTTCCTCAGTAGGAATGGCAAACCTGTTCTAGAACTTGGGTACAAAGAGATTCGAGGTAAGTGTTAGCGACAGCCAATCTAGACACTTTGCAGATCAAGGGTTCCAGCATCTTCAGATAGCTGACTAAAATCTCTTATCTGAAGACCCTCTGTCATTCACTACCGCATGACATATCCGAACAAAAGAGATTTAAGTGCTGGTTTAGTAAAAGGCAACTTTCTAGGGGCTTTGTGTCATTGTGGACCCCTGGCAACTGCCTGCTCTTGGCAAGATTTCAGGAGGGGTTTCCTTGTTCTTCTTAGGGCTGAGAGAGAGGTCACCCAATTGGCTTTGTGCCTAAAGTAGGACTAGAACTCACAGTATCCTGGTTTCCAGCCTGGTGCCTTAACCACTAGACCAAACTGCTCCTAAGAGAATTGGTTTCACCAGCACCCCACACACCAAGGCAGGACTCTCCCCATATTCACCTCAAGTAGCCAAAGGCACAATGTGAGTCCTTGGTTGCAAACAAGGCCATTAAGTCCAAGGCTGTCAATTCTACAGCCATGTCTTCTCCACCCGCTCAGCAACAATGAAGCCCCGTTATCTATGATTAATATTTTATACTGACTTTCCACCAAAAAGCTACCAAGGCAATGCACGATTAAAAAAAACAAAAAACAAAAAACCCATAACCCAGCCATAAAACCACCTTAAAAAGGTTAAAGGGATAGTAATAAAACAAAGATAATTTCAAAGGACACGCTGGAGAAGAATCTTCATGCCTTTTTCCACAAACAAGAAGGAAGGCCATTCCTTAAACAAGGACTCTCTTGACTCCTTAAAAACTGTCCGCCTTCCCCAAGGTGGGGAACGGAAGGCTGGGCTGGTAGGGGAGGATGGACGTTGTGACCCACTCACCTGGCTTGGCACCAGAGCAGGAAGAGGAGGCAGTTCTGGGTCAGTAGAGGAAAATCAGGGCAGTCTGCAACCCGGTGCCTCCCATGCCCGGGACTTTAACTCCCAGAACCCCCGAATCAGGGATGGCTCTCATGCCCACCGACTCCGTTTTCCCAACTTACAGCGGTTTGGGGGTTACAGCGCCGGGGGGGGCATGTCAGGTGGGCGGTGCGAGGCACCCGAGGGGCAGAAGCCGGCAGCCCCTCCAGGGGAGGCGCGCGCCGGTGGCCACTCCTTGCATGAACACCACAACGCGTTCCGCCCATCGCCCGCTGGGTGCCGCGGGACGCCCCAAAGCAGCTGACTGAGGCCACCCGCCGCCTGCCCCAGAGTC